TTTCATTTAACATCTGAACAGAAAGCTTATGGTTTTCATTATATTTGAGCACTTCTGATCTATTCCATCTTGACTTTTACAGTGAGGTGGATTAAAAGAACATTGATTCATTTCCTGGTTTTCCTGTAAAGTGTCTCACACAAAATACTTTGTTGATCAAGTAAATTGAGAGAACAGTGGGATAATTATAGTTGATAAGCTATTGAAGAGTTTATGACTTTTTGGACATATTTGGTGCTTCTTTCTTCAGGGTTAATTCTTTTAAATCACAAACAAGAAAATAGGACATATTAATAAAATGTGCTCCTTAATGCATAGGACTAACTAGTATCACTACGGTATAAACTGTTTCTTATTAGTGGGCTATTTTAGAATAGCTAGACTTCTTCTGGGGAAAAGGAAAGTATGAACCAAATGGCTACTTGAATAAGTTATTTTTCTTGTTCTTTTGACTGTTTTGAAGTGCTTAACAATTGAGATTTTTATTAATTCTTGCAGTTTAAAAAAGCTTGTAAGTGTTCTGTTCAGTTCTGCAGCATGTTGGCATGACAGACATTTTCCTTTTAAGCAATGTGCATTTTAGGATTTGATGCATATTTTAGACATTCTGTAAGTATACTAAATGTACTGAATATTCTGGCAAGCAAGGCAAGTTTTGGAGATCTTTATAAAAGTGTCCTCCTGTTTTGTTTTTTATTTAGACAATACTTGTGCTTCATCAGCTTTTACCTGTGCCAGTGGGCAGTGTATTCCAGGTCGCTGGCGTTGCGATAAACATAATGACTGTTTTGATGGCAGTGATGAATTGCATTGTCCTACACAAGGACCCACTTCATGCCCTGTAACCCTGTTCACCTGTGATAATAATAGATGTATTCCAAGGATCTGGCTATGTGATACTGATAATGACTGTGGTGATGGGTCAGATGAAAAAAACTGCAGTGAGTATCACAACTGTCTGTTGTTTTTTAAACAACTGTGAATGTCTACATAGATATGTCTGTTGGTGTAAGGATGATAAATGAAATTAGGAAGAAAGAACTAATATCTAAGTTAGACTCATATTTTGCAGTCCGTAAGATGTGGAAAACTCAGTGAATTTGGACTACCAGAGCCAAGTAGAATGCAGAAAAATAATTTAAAAAAATAAAAAGGGACAACTGTGATAGTCATAATCGTGGTGCTGCAATTTCCAGCAAAAAGCAGCTAAAGCTTAAAAGTTCTAAGCACTTATTTGATGAGTGATCACAGTAATGACTAATGGTGTAGTCAGCTAATCGAGTTTGGAAGTTTTTACCAGAAGTAAGACAGTAGTTTCTCTATATGCTTTTTTTAGTGTTATTTACCATTGAGGCCTATCCTCATTCCCCAATGAGTATAGGCAAGTCTTTTATTTGTTTTGCATGAGTCCAAGCCTACCTATGAATAAACAATTACCTGATACTTATGTATCGGTGCTTGTAATTTATGTGATTACTTGTTGCTGCATTTACATGCTGCAAGTTAGTGATAGTGTCTTTATATTACTTCAGTATTATGGTGATTTCAGAAGAGAGCAAAGAAATACATCTACATTTATTGTCATTCTTAACAGCTTTTGCAGGTACTTGTGAGCCCAGGCAATTTCAGTGTCCAGACCACCGCTGTATTGATCCATTCTATGTCTGCGATGGAGACAAAGACTGCATAGATGGTGCTGATGAGCATGACTGCAGTAAGTGTAACTTCATTTGTTTCCTCACTCTTACCCCCTGAGGGGACTTTTGGTGACCTCGTATTACCAGCTCCAAGATAGCAGAATGCATAATAAACCTATCCATAGATTAAACCTGTTTGTGTTGGTTGTTTTAGCACTGTAGTAAGCCCTTTGATCTCTTGGCTGGTTGTAGAGGGCTGAAATCTGTTTCCTCTAAGTTTCCTGTAGATCCCAAGGTCACTGCATTTTCTGTGTCCCAGGAAAATCATGGTCTTCCGTGGGCCTTGGTCTCCTGATACCATATCTGACTTGGGCACCTGTAGAAGAATTCGGTGCAGTCTAGCTCTGTAAAATAAGTAAATAACATTCTTTTTTATTATTATTATTTTGTAGTATATAACTGCAGTGCCACAGAGTTCAAATGTCGAAGTGGAGACCAATGTATCAGCACTTACTACCACTGTGATGGTGTTTTTGACTGTAATGATCACTCAGATGAGACTGATTGCCGTAAGTATATTGATCCTGAAAGAAAGGCTTCAGTTAATAGGCGATGCTTCTGAAAATTTACTTTATCAGATATATCAAATAATTGGCATTACTTTCCTTAAAACATCAAAATTCTTTTCAGGGAAACTTGTCTATAAATCGCTTTTCTAAGCAGAAATTTCAAACACAGTAGGTGTAGAGTAGAGTTTGCATTCCTTTTGACGCTAAAGTTTTATTTTACTTGGCACCTCAGTCTCAGGGTTTAAAAGTAAAATTAAGAAGTATATTAATCTAGAAAAGTGAAAGCCTTATATCCATGAAAGTTAGATTGAAACTTTTCCTTGAGAATTTTTTTACATTTTAGTTAAAATCTTGTAGTGCAGGGCAGTGAAAACTTGTTTCAGCAAGTAATTTCACATTGCTTTGGGCATGTACATAGATATCAATACATGCTTGTTCAAGATGCAACAGTAGTTGAATTCCCTTGTTCACCGTATAATAAAGTAGAAGTTAAATTACATGACATTTCAGAATGTGACCAGACTGACTGACTGTGATGCTATGGCCTGATCTAAAAGCAACACAGTTCTTAATAGTATTGTAACTACTTATGCAAGAGATGAACTGAACATAGTGATTTTGTTTGTCTGTCTAAAATGGAAACAGCTTCTGAACTGTTGAATGTCACTGTTTTAGCTACAAGACCACCAGGCATGTGCCACCAGAATGAATTCCAGTGTCAATCAGATGGCAATTGTGTTCCTGCTAACTGGGAATGTGATGGCCATCTTGACTGTGCAGATGGCTCAGATGAACATCATAGATGTCCTGCCAGGACCTGTCCTCCATCTCTTTTCCGCTGCGATAATGGCAACTGTGTCTATCGAGCATGGATCTGTGATGGTGATAATGACTGCAGAGATATGAGCGATGAGAGAGATTGTCCTACTCAACCCTTCCGGTGCCCCAGCTGGCAGTGGCAATGTCCGGGTCACAGTATCTGTGTGAATCTGAGCAAAGTATGTGATAATTCTGCTGATTGTCCCAACGGAGCTGACGAATCCCCCTTGTGCAGTAAGTTACTGTATAAGCATCTGCTATAGCGTGCTAAGGCTTCAGAAAGAAATGGAATATTCAGCATGCTGTATTTAGTGCAGCAACATTTCTAGCAGAAGGTGTAAGCGTGCTGAAATTAGAACTCAAATTACTAAGTGGAACTTGCTTGCAGTGAAAGGAGACTACAATTACGACACATTAATTCATTAGCTACGTCCAAACCTGTGCTCTGAACTCAAATGTGATTTCCACTGACTTTAATATAGGTTTTTATATAGCAATATGTGAATGAACTTTGTGTTCCTAAACACATTTACTAAAGCATGGTATGCTTTAAGTTCAGATGAAATGTGATTCAGTCCTTAATATTTTCTTTTAAATTTCTAACTTCAAAAATCATGAAAAAAATCTAAAAGCTTACGTGTAGCCAGAATTTGTATTTATGTTGATTATGAATTGATTTAAGCATAACCTTTTTCTTTCTTTCCTTCCTTCCTTCCTTCCTCCTCCTTCTCTTTAATCAATGCACATTCTCAGATGAACCCCAGCCAGGTATGATTATAAATTATTTAAATTATTGTTTATTATTACAATTTTAGGTTTGGAGTGGTAGAGTAAAATTTTGTATATTTCTAACTAGTTTTAAAAAAACCTGTTATAAATTCTTAGCTTTCTGTTTAGCATTCATTTAATGGGACTCAGTAGTACATACTATGTTGTTATCTGCCTTTATGTGCATTGTGTGCGTTATATTTTGCATAAGGGCCTCAGTCCATTCTCACATTGCATAACTGATGATTGTGCAGTCACATTTTAGCAGCAGTCTTAGGCTAGTAATGCAATTGCAAAGTATTAAAGTTAGTGTAAGAAGCTTTTGTTAACTATTTATTTATTTCCTTCATGAATCCCATTTCAGATCAGGAGAGCTGCTCTGACAATAATGCCGGCTGCACTCATGAATGTATTCAAGGACCCTTTGGAGCTCAGTGTACTTGTCCGATAGGATACCAGCTTGCAAATGACTCCAAGACCTGTGAAGATATTAATGAATGTGACCCTCCAGGCTTTTGTAGTCAGCATTGTTACAATGAGAGAGGGTCTTTTAGGTGTTACTGTGATGAAGGATACGTTTTAGAAACCAATGGGAAGACTTGTAAAGCAGCAGGTGAGGAACGTTGATGTCAACCTAAAGAATGACAACAGTGTCTGGAAAATATCCAGCTTTGCCATGTTCATATTGTTCTCTTTTAAAAGAGCTGATATGAACAGCCACTTAAAGTTGTTTATGGCAAATGACCTTGATTCTTAAAACTGTCAGCTGAGGGGTTAATTAGAAACTATTATTTCCTTGCAATAATATATTTAAATTAACACTGTAATTTTTAAGCCTGGAATGGTCAAAAATAATACTCTGGAGAGAAGCAATGCCGGGCACCTGTAAGCCATAGGTTAAAATTTGCTCTTTATAAAGTTCTGTGCTCACAGAGTGTTTAAATCCCAACCTTTCACAAGACTTGCCTAGTGCCTATGCCATACTTAGCTCATTTTTAAAGAGCAAAAAACACTGACACAGCCTAGCTGTCCGTTATTCTGTATCTCTTACGTAGTACACTGACAGTACAGGGGAGCCATATACCCAGTGGAATTTGTGACCACAGGTTTCCTGGTTTAGGGATATACTCAGGTTGTGGAAGACTCTTGCAATTTACCTGCAAATAAGTCTGACCCTTACTAATAGGGAGTTTCTCACAGTTTGCTGTCTTTATGGTTGCTACTCTTCAGTTGTTTTTCAGCAACAGCTTATCAGTGTAAGCTGCTGCACGGCAATCTAACTACAGCAGCCTGTGGCTTTCCTGTAATCTGTTTATTTTCCTCCCTGGTCCCCATGCAGTCTAAAGGGAAAAAAAAAAATAGCAGGCTGTCTAAAAGGGAGGAGGAGCCAGGCTGTGTAGAGTAACTGGTGCTACAAAGAACTTTGGGGTTTGAATCAGGACTGGGAGCTGAGAGTGGCTTAGGGAGGAATGAGGGCTGAATGTCAGCCCTCAGTTGGACAATGGAGAAGAGGACCTAATGCTTAGATATGAGACTGGAAGAGAAGTCTAGTAGAAAGAGTAAATGATGAAGAAAGGGTGGAGGAAAGCCAAGGTAAATCCAAAAGTCAGGATGGACAGACTGGATGTGATAAAATATCTTGGGCTGACAATTGATTTGAGTTCATCTTTTCAATGTATGTCTAGATACAATAGCTTTGATCCTATAAAGCCATGTCAAATTACTCTGTTTCTTTTTCTTACAGAATTACTCTTGAATAGCTTATTGGTTAATTTTAATTTCTTTTCCTTTGACAGAGTCTGGGAATCTTCTTTTGCTGGTGGCAAGTCGTAACCAAATTGTTGTGGACAACATCACCTCTCAGTCACACAGTATTTATTCTCTGGTTCGGGATGGGAGGAATATTGTGGCTATTGATTTTGATTCAGTCACAGATCGTATCTTTTGGTCTGATACAACACAGGATAAAATTTGGAGTGCTTATCAAAATGGGACTGACCGTAAAATAGTAAGTTTTGCTGAGATATTCTTGTCTCTCCATTGCGGAGAGAAAATGAAGGCGCTGTATCTCCAGTTAACAAAGGGGAAGAGGGAAATCCCAGCATAAGAAGAAGAGAGATAACATAGACAAGTGAAAAAACTTTGTAGATACTAAGCCAACATTTCATACTGCTTTTTGAGAAAGAAAACTGAATGCTTTCAAGAAGCCCTTTTTAAACATCAGGCTATAAGTTTGTTTTCCTCTTAGTAGATGCTAACTTCTTCAGTGGACCCACTGAAGTTAGTAGGAGTGTTTGGGTATATGCTTTGTCAGCACTTTGAATATGTACATTGTGACTCATTCTGCATAAAAGACCTAAAATGTTGGAGATTTGGTTCCTTATTTTCCTATAGAAATGGAAAGGGTAAAAATTTAAGATCAACTGGTTTGTTTTCTCTCTCTCTCTTTTTTTTTTTTTTTTGTTTTTTTTGTTATTAGGTGTTTGACAGTGGTGTCACCGTGACTGAAAGTATAGCGGTAGATTGGGTAGGTCGCAATCTTTACTGGACAGACTTTGTTCTGGAAACAATTGAAGTCTCTAAAATGGATGGGAGCCACAGGACTGTGCTGATTAGTGAAAATGTAACAAACCCAAGGGGACTAGTGTTAGATCCCAGAATTGAGTAAGATTTTTTTTTAATGTTTTGTTTTCAAAAGATGCATATTTTATGATGTAACAATATTCAAATTTGAGATACGCCCAAATTGTATTGTAATATTAAATGACAAGTGGAAGAGAAAAGACAAATTTTTTACAATAGTGTGTTTGCAGAGTTGATTTAATATTAAAAGTCATATGGTAATTATTTGTAATCTGTTGCTGTGTTTCACCGTAACAAGATTTTTTTTTTTTCCCCCGTAAAATAAGTTTTCCTGCATTTGCTTCCTAGTTAAGAACTATTAATTCAAAAGTCTGGCTTATCATTATCAGTTGGTGGTATACCACATACTTACATGTAACATAATAGGTTATGCTTACCTGGCAAGAAACAGGTTTCTTCATAGCCCCAAGTCTAAACTAATTATCTATACCATATTAATGTTAGCACAAAAGCACCTTCCCATGTCAAATGGCAAGTGGCATAGAGTAAATGGAATGTGATACTTTGAACTGTTCATGTACAAAGTTTTACTGTTTTTTGAGCTCTTCAATGCCTCGAACTCTGTTTAGTGGCAGCCATGTGGGGCTCTTCAGTTATAGCACTGCTAACATTATCAATGCATGCCTGTAAAAGTACAAACCCTTATCAAATTATTACTTAGCAACATTGAAAAACAGTAATAACAGTAGCTTCTATATGTGGCTGTTATTGACAAATGAAAACAGCAGTAGAATATTAAAAGAAATTTTACAACTGAAATGATGGTAATATCTTAAGCATATTGCTGAAATTAATAACTTCAGTATCATTGTGTAGGACTTTTCTTAAAAGGTTGTTTCTATTTTTTGGCTAATGAGTCATCATGTAACATTTCTCAGTAGGCATCTAGGGTTTTTTCAGATTGGTAACCACAAGTTACTTTTTTCAGTGCTCATGTAATGTTCTGGACTGACTGGGGCCAAAACCCTCGAATTGAAAAAGCCAGCATGGATGGCAAAATGCGAACAGTGATTATTAACAATAAAATCTACTGGCCCAATGGACTCTCCATTGATTACCCAAATAAACTTCTCTATTTTGCTGATGCTTATCTTGATTATATCGATTTTTGTGATTACAATGGAAACAACAGACGACAGGTGGTTGCAAGCGATTTGGTAAGACGTTAATAAGGAACCCTTGTTTTCCCATGTCCTCCCTGGTGGTACTTAAAAACATATTTGCACTGTCATAGACTTGGATGTATTTTTCTTCAAAATGCTTGGGTGAAGCAGATATGTAGCTGTTTGCTACAGCTGGAAAAAGAACTGCATATCCTATTCACAGTCTCTCAGGCGATCTTCAACAGAACCTGGAGCTGTGTAGACTTGGTGCTTTAGATCATATTCATTTGATCTGTCTGCATGCATGAAGTCTAAAGGTGACATCTGACACTGCTGCTACTAGCTGATGTATTTACTGTAGGCAAATACAGTACAAAAAAGCTGGAAGAACTTTCCCCAGTCACTTTCTGTGAGTGATGATTGCTGCTGTTCATGACAGCAGTGAAGGGTTTTGTGCTGCCAGGACTTGCTGTGTACAGGGCACTTCATGAAGACCATCCCTCTTACAGGCTGTCTCCCAGTGAAGTGCTGCTGGCAACTTGTAGCATTGTCCCGGTACCAACACAGTAGTTCGGATCTTCAGTTAGTACACATAAGCTGGTATGACAAAAACACATGTATATTTTCAAGAATTGAACCTTGGGGCTTTTAGTTTTGGCTAGAGAGACAAGTCTTGTGACATAGGATCTGGTGCAATCTTTCTTGTCCCACTCCTAGTTTTCTGAAATCTTCAAAGTCCCCTATGATTTACCAGAGGGTTATCACAGATGCAAGGTCTTGTGACAGATCCATAACTCTCACTAGATATTTCCTCTTGTGCCCTTGAAAATCTACAATTGGGACTTTATCTAGACTGCTGTGGTAATTCCTCATGCTGTATGTCTCGCAGCAACTATTTAACATTTTCATTTTCAAAAATGTGTATTTCTTCCATAATTAACGTCTTGTTTTCAGGCAATAGATGATATTTCATGTTCTTTTGCTGAAAAATATTTTTTGAGACAGCTGGGTTTTTTTCTTATTTTTTAAAATATGCTCAGCTCTGCTGTTACTTCATATTCAAATCTCTAGAACTAAATTGGTAAACATCCTTGCCTTTTAGATATTGCAGCATCCACATGCTCTAACTCTCTTCGAAGATTTTGTGTACTGGAGTGACCGCTATACTAATCGAGTAATTCGGGCCAATAAATGGCATGGAGGAAACCAGACAGTTATGATTTATAACATTCACCAGCCTTTGGGGCTTGTGGCAGTCCATCCTATAAAGCAGCCTAATGGTAAGTTCAGCAAAACAGCTTTGGTAATTACTAAAAGAAGCCATGCAGTAATGTCATGCATAGGCACTCCTGGAATCAGTCTTGTCAGCGAATGGGCTGTGTTAAAAAAGTAACCTAGGCAGCATGTAAGCATAATGACTAGCGGAAAAGAATAATAGGGAAGTAGTATGTGCCATTTACTTGCACTTTGTTTTAATGGCTTTTATAAGAAAATTGGAGCATTTTTGGAAAGCATTTTAGTATTTAAAACTTGTCTCTGTTCCTTGACTTGGTTCCTTGTATGTTAATAATACCATGCTTTAGACATGCTTTTTCCTTGTGTATGGAGTGGTTTTGGTTAATAAATATTACAATGACTTCCCCCCCCGAAAACTTTCATACCAAGGAGGGCAGAGACTTTCATCTGAGTAAGGCGCTAGTAATTTCAGTGCTATATTTATTTTGGAAGAAAACCTTCCTCAAGTCATGTTCAGCACTATCACTGCAAATTGTTTAGTCACCAGAGGGTACCATTAATTTATATCATAGTTCTGGTTTTGTTTTACAACCCAGGGTTTAAAAAATCTTTTTATCACTGATGGGGAAAATTGTTTATTTTTCTTCATTGTATTAAATTAGTACATTTTATGATTTTTCATTTAGAATTGTTCTATTGTATTTTATGTGGCCAGAGAAGATGGGAATAAAGCACTTGCAAAATAGCAGAACAGGCTAATGTTTACAAATGAAGACATTATTATTTGTTGATTGAAGTTCCAGATGCAGTAATAAAACTGTCATCCACTCTCCTTTTTATGTAAATTATTAGATCTTACACCAACTAGAGTTTAGATTTGTTATACTGATGAGATGAATAATTTTCTTACAGTTTAAGTTCTGAGTTTATGCCATCGTTTTGTTGTCATTTTGTTAATTTGTTTTCAGTTCTTGTTAGTTTTTATATTAGCAACAACTGTGTCATTTCCTGAAATTTCCAAACTCCTTAGAATAAGGCCTGCTGCGGTTGCTAAGGATATACTCAAAATCTAACTTTATTTTCTCATGAAGGTGGCTCATCCTGAAAAATTTGTGATATAAATGGTTGAGTTTTAGCGGATAGTAATAATAGCAGTCAGTAGACACCTTTTTCACTGTCCTTTTTACATTTTACAAACTTAGACTGCCAATTTGAAAGTGATCCAAGAAACTATGCGCTGAACTCCCACTACCTTTGAATGAGATGTAGGCAACTATTTTCTCTCTTTAGTTTTCTCCAAGAAGCTTTAGTAAATAATTTAAATCCCCCTGTCTAAAAGGTTTATAATCATCAAAGACTGAAAACCCTGCAGGCCTCCTGGTGCAGTTAAAAGTTTGACAATGAATTTGAAAGATTTTGTATGATGCAAAAAAAAAAAGAAAAGACCACTGTGATAATGGTACTGGTTTTACATGAAAAATTATATTCTGTTACAATTATTGCTTGTGGTTCTTGGAAATAACCTATTTTTTTAATTTTAAGGATATAGCAAAACTGATTTAGTGCTGAGTTGATATTAACAGTAGCAATGACATTAAATATTCTTTCCAGTTGCTCATCATGTTACAGTTGTTAATACTTCCTTTTTTCTTTTCAGGTATCAATTCTTGTGCGTCGTCCCCCTGTAGCCACCTCTGCTTGCTTTCTTCATCTGGACCACTTTTTTTTTCCTGTGCTTGTCCTTCAGGATGGATGCTTTCTCCTGATAACAGGAACTGCATGAGAGGTAGGGCAGTGATAACGAGAGATGGAAAAACAAAAGACCTGACTGTCAAATCCATTGCTCTGTCAGGCAAAAAGCATACTTCAGATCTGAGGGCTGCTGCTCATGAAATCAAAGTTTGGGGGCATTCCAGGCAGACATCATTTATGAAGCATGGAATGTTCTTGTCCTAAAGGTTTGGAGCCAGGTTCTGGAAAGAACTCAGTCAGACATTCAGGTGCTTCATTTGGGGAAAATGGATGAACTCAATTTTCTTTCAAGCACTTGAAAGAAGCCACATTTTAAACTTTCTCAACACATTGAACATTTTGCTGTTGGAATACATCTGAAATGTTTTCCTTCTCATTGTAAATATTCAGCCTGAAAACCTGTTTTTAAGTGTTGCAATTACAAGAATGTAGAGATGGAGGACTAGAAGGGACGTTCTTGGTCACCAAAGTCTGTTTCCTTCTTGTCTTTGACTGCCATATTATATGTCCCCTTTCACCAGTCAAGCTCCAGTTTAAGATTTATTTGGTTTCTTGCCCCCAAACCTCAGTGAATTTCACAATTTTGATATTTGGAAACCTTCTGATTTTCTGTTCAAATGTAGTCTCTCCTCAGTTTATGCCCATTTCTTATGCCATTTTTGTCCTTCAGAATAAATAGCATCAGTAGTTCTGATTCATCCCTGGTATATATTCTGTTGTATATATTTGAAGTGATTATCACATTCTTTCTCAGCCTGTATTTTGCTAAGAAGTAAGTCATGATATTTTGGGTTCCTTTAATCAGGAAGGATGCTCTTCCTTTTTCTCATCACTGTCTTCAGCCTGTCTGAACTAATGCACTTTGGAATTCAGATCAAAATTTCACAGCTTGAGCTTTTTCCCTCCCCAGTGTAAAAAATTAGTATGCCAAATGCAGGAGGTCTGGAAACAGCCTAAAATTACAGACACTACAGGTGATGCAGCTGTAACAGAGCTAACCTTTGCAAACAAAACTTCCTATCAAAAAGTACCACTGAACTGTCTTTGAACAGTCCACAGACCTCAATGATTTGTAAAAATCATTTAGCCAATTAATTTAAAAAAAAAAAAAAAGAAAAAGTCACAAAAATTTAAATTACTGGCAGGCTGTTTGTGACCAGAAATTTGACCAGATGAATTTTGTCAGATGAAGCATTCATTATTAATTTTTCCATCAGTTGTACAGTATAAAGTGTGTTTTGATGCCTCCCTAATAAGGAAGCTTCACTGAAATTTAAGTAGAAATTAACTTTGGGATGAGCTAACAATAGAAATCTCTGTCACTCAAAAGATTAGTTTCTTTTAAAACTATCTAAATATTAAAATCCATATCACGCTGTTTTTCTGCTTGATCCTTAGCAGCGTGTGCTTTAGAAAGCTGTATTGCATTCATGTTTTTCTTAGCAGTAGTAAGAGAATTACCAATTTATGTAATCTGAAATGAAGTGCAAGTTTGTTTAATTTATTAAAAAAAAAAAGAGTTTATTTTAGAAGTATGTACTGGTTTTAGTATGTGCTGGCTTATAGAAGAATCATGATGAAAGAAATAGAACATGGCAGTGATGAAGCACATGTGTGTGTAGAGGTCAACCCAGTTCTGCCACTGAATCAAACTATTGACAGTTCTTATCTTTATTTCCCACATGTTGCAAAGTTCCCTGTGTCTGTTTAGGTACACTTGTGGCCTTTTTATAAGTGACACAATTTATATATGGAACAATTATGTAAGACAGAAATAGAAATATCCTGCTGTGAAGCACAGTTCTTTTAAGCTATATGGGCTTATTTTTTCTTTTTAGATCGAATTGATACATTAAAAATAATATATTAAAAAACATGTACAGATTTGGGGATTTTTAAAAAATTTATTTGCTGAAGGTCAGCACATCAGAAAAAGTTATTAAAATATGCTGATTCCTTTCACGATAAAAGATTTTAATTATTGCTAATGATTACAAAGAAATAGGCATTTGCCATTTCTCTTCTACTATTTACTGTGATCCTCATCCTTGCTGTCGCTGCTTACTTTACTAGGCCAGCACCAACTTTCAGCAGAAAGATTAAACTGAGCTGCATGCATTTGGTTGCCCAGTGTCTCTACAAAATAATGATATTGCTGGTCTCTGCCTACTTAGTTAGCATGTTAAATGCTGCTAACTTCACGTTGATGGAAAGGCTTTCTAGGATTGCACCATTTCTAGCTTTACATGAGATGAAGAATGCTAATCTTACAAGATTATCTTTTTGCTTATTTTACTTTAAACTGCATTTCAGGTTGATATTAAAGATGGTAATGTAGCAAGCAGGCTTGGAAACAAAACAAGGAATTTATGTATATTAAAATCTTGTATTAATAAGATAAATTTGCATATTTAATACAATAATACATTAATTTTTTATGGATTACCATTTATCATGTAAACCTGTATTAAGAATTGTAGAAGTTATATTAATGTCTATCTGATGAAGCGCCACAGATTTTTAGATCTGTATAGCTCAGCAAATTTGCTCTATTGGCCATTATACAAATGAAGAATAATCAGGCTATATAGATTTGCACAGGAAGCAAGCCACAAAAAATTTTCTGTAGAATGTAATTGGTTTAAATGAGACTATCAAACTTCTCTAGTACAAACAGTCTAGCCAAGAGAATTCACATATCTGTATTTCAGGAGGATTCAGTAGTGTTGTACTGTGTACAATTAGAAAGAGAATAGTGACTCCAGGGTATTGTATGCATTGGAAGAATTTCCCATGAATCTATCTGTTCCTTGTAAATGTTTCAGAGAAGAGCACTGGCATGCGATATTCTTAGGAAAAAAAAAAAAGGAAGAAGTCCAAGAATTTCACAGTCAGAGCTAGCTATGTGTCTTCAGGCAATTATTTGCCAAAATGTGTTTTTTGTGCTGAGACAAATGATATCTAAGCTCATGTTAAATTTGACAAATAGATCCAGCTGCCAGAGAGAAGAATGGAGAGTAATTTTGAGACATGCAATGATGCTGTGATTTGTGGGCTTTCCTGCCAAAGTTTGCACTGCAAAATTTATATAAATGTATTAAGCAGCCAGTGAAGAAAATGAAAACAAAAACCAACCAAACAAAAAAGTCTGATCTATTATAAAAGAGGGAATGGGTTACTGCTACCTTCTATGCAGCAGCAGCCTGGTTCCCTATCAAGTGGTAGCTTCTGCCTATGGAGAGAAGAGGCTGGAATTTGTTCTCCAAGGGCAAAATCACAAGGAAGAGGGGAACTGGCGTTCAGGGGATTCTCTTCCCCTGTTCCCAAGCAGATGAGAAATGAAGTTGCTATAACTCGTACTCTACAGCTCCCCAATGCATTTTCTCAGATCACCTGACTAGATACCCTTTGTTAATAAGATTTAAGAATAAGGGTCCAAGTTTACCTAGAAGTAAATATACTATAAGGGAGTGTGTCTGCTCCCTTAGATATAAAACAAGAAAACACAGTACCACAGTTATCTTTAATAATAAAGATCAGCAATTGCTGCTGTGACATTGTACGTTGCTTGTGAGTCCTGCTTAATAGGCATTAGAACCCATCTTGGGTGTGTCCTGGAGAGTCCTCAGAGCTTTGTCCTGCTGGTTCCCATTCTCAGGGATTTGAAAAAGCTGCTCAGAGCAGCTGCATGAGTGATCCTGCCTCACTTACTTCCTCCTCCTCAGGGTTTGCTTGTACATGCGTTCTGTGCAATCAGAAATTGCGCAGTGCTGAAATTTTGAATGTTACAATAATCACAATAACTGACAACTTCACTCCTAGTGAGGTAACAAACTCACCGGTAGGTGGTTACAAAATGTCACTGGTAACGTTCAACCATTCTCAGCATCAGGGAACTTTTGGGTCGGAGAGGGGAAGCATATCATAATGCCATTTTCTTGATCAGAAACAACTCTGAATTACATTATATGTTTTCACAGTTGAGCACCCATTTCTTATTGCTGTAAGAGATAATATAATTTATGGAATTTCTCTGAACCCTGAGGAGAAGACAAATGATGCTATGATTCCAATAGCAGGAGTTCAAAATGGCGTTGATGTTGACTTTGATGACTCCGAACAGATGATTTATTGGGTTGAAAATCCGGTAAGTTAGTGTTTGTGTTCAAAACATGCACTAAAATAAGACTGAAATATATTAGCATTGCAGGTAAGACTTTTAATAAATATAATTGAAAGGAATGAAAGGGGGGTTTCTCCCCCAGGATAAGATAAAGAAAATTCATCCCTTAGTTTTCATCTTTGTCAGCTGAAATACTTGATTAATGCTATTTCTGGCTCAGGCAGAGACATGAGTAGGAAACATCAGAAAGCATTGACAGAATCATACTCTCAGTCCCCCTTTGCTATCGTCCACTCTTTCTCTTGACTTGGAACTTAATTCTGCAAACACAGCCAGAACACTTCTCCGTGGGAACTGTATGTTGGACACAGTGGCACTCAACATTAGAATGAAAATACGTGCACTTAATCCACACAAGATTTATGGGTTTTTTTCCCAACCTGTTTCCCTTATGTTTTGCAGGTTTGAAGTAAAAATAAGTTTTAAAATCACTCATTTTAAAGCCTTTTCTGTGTCACTTATAAAGGAATTATAACTTACTTATTTTTATTTAACATTTATTCTTTTAAAATGAGAATAGTTAGTTCCTATGAAGTATTTAAATAGACCCATTTAAGCAAACCTTTGCCCAAGAAACTACATAAACACTCAAGAATCTATTTGATCTTCTGTGCAGTCTGAAAAAATGTTCTTGACAGATCTCAGCCAACAGATAGAGCTGACGTTTGCAAGAGGTTGAACAGTTGTGTAGGAGGTCATGGGCTGATATATCCATTAACAGAGCTGGCAAATGAAATGCCAGGTGCCTCTGCAGACTGAGTGTGGGTAAGTGCTGTATTTTGGTTAGGGCTTGAGCTCCAGCCTGACAAATGCATGACAATGATCTGTGCCCCCTATCTCTACCCCTGACCTGCAGGTCTCAGGCTGCTGTTACTCCCAAATAGAGCTGAGACACCTGTGACAGTCATGGCTCGCTCTCTGAAAAAAAGCTATTTATCTAGTTTCTAATGCCAGAAGCATATGCTTCTACTTTCTTGTTTGTAGTGCTTGTCCATTACCACAAGGCTTCTTCCTTAACACCCTGTTGTACCTCCATCCATTGCATGTTTGGGTTTTCCTGGGATTTGTCTACACTTGCATGTTTGTAGCTGTAATTTTACTGGCAGTGTTGGCAACAGTTGAAGCTGTAGTTAGAGCTCAAGTGTACATTCATCAGCTTGTTCACCCTATCTGAAGCAAACTCAGGAAAAAGAGATAAATATCAGACTCCTTCCTACTCTATTTGAAAAACACTTCCTAAGTGTTAATGTTCCATAATTTATTGACTGTAAATGTCAATAATAGGCAGGAGAAGTCCTAACTGTCTTTTAAAGTTCCTATCATACTAGACACTGCTATGAATATTCAACATTCATCAGGCTCTCAAAATAGAGTTTTTACAGTACCACAAGTTATCCTATTTTCCTTCCTTTTTTCTTTAGGCCTAGGGATTCAAGGACAGGTTAGTTTGCAAATAGCACTACATTGTTAGCATTCTGCAAGCAGCACTCTACTGGTGTCTAAGAAATTCTACCTATTTAAGCCAGCAGTGAATTCAACCTGGAGTTCTTGTTCAGATTTTGCTATATCTGATGTGTTGATTCCTTTTTGAAGCACCATTTTCAATTCTGCCCTGAGATACTTAAGACAGTGTACTGATATCATGGTAACAAAGCAATTAAGAGTATTGTAATGGTTTAACCTCAGCCAGCAACTAAGTGCCATGCAACTGCATCCCCTGTGGGATGAGGGAGAGAATCAGAAGAGTGAAAGTGAGAAAACTCATGGGTTGAGATAAAGACAGTTTAATAGGTAAAGCAAAAGCTGATTCAAGTGCTACAGAGTTCAGGCTATAATGGTGTGCTGTATGTTCTGTCCCTTCAAGTTGGCAGTGCCCCTGTTTTTCCAGCAAAGTGCCAGAGCAAAACAGACCTACTGCATGTGTTGCCTCAGGGAAGAACTGGGCTGGTGGGTCCCAGTGTTACCTTGTCTGGAAGCCTGCACCACAGAGTGAGATCTTCCCAGGACAGGTGCAGCACGTCTGCATTGGTAGAGGAGGAAGTAATTCGTGAGGAGAGAGAAGCAGATTTTAGCCCTTGCTCGCAGCTCCGCTAACCCTACTGACCTCTTCTCCAAAAGCCTTAATAATGTGCGATAGCTGCTGGTATTTCAATTCTTTATTAATACGAGTTGTGAAAGATTCACGTGATAATACTCAGGACTTCTGCAGAACCACTGGAAAACTGACCTAACCTGAAGAAAGCTCAGGAAGGCAGCTATAGTAACCATTTCAGACCTTGACCTGCCTTGTCTGTCTGTTTCGTGCTTGTTTATATAGAATCATAGAATGGTTTGGGTTG